AGATGCTTTCTCAAATTACATTTCTTCCCTGGACTCAGATTTCTTTTATCTGACTGTTGTCTTGGTTGCAGCTCTTCTCCCTGTTCTTCAAAATTATTCCTTTGGCCCATTACACAATCCTGTGATATTTATTTATTTGATTTATAAGGCCACCCATCTGAAAATAATGATTCTTACTGGTATTGCATTTGCAAATTCTGAACATTAATTATTTTTATATGCGGATAACATTTTGGTAGTATTGTATTGCCTAACTAAATACAGGTGTCTCAAGAATTTGATAAATATTCAGCTTATAAAATTAATTTGGAAAAGTCTAATTTACTCCCTTTGGGAACTGATATATTAATAGATTAATGTAAGAGGATGGGCTTTGTAGCACATACAAAATATATTAAATATTATATCTGCAAAATATATAATACTGTATAATATGTACATATATTTCAAAATAGGTGGAATTTAATATGTTAAATGCTACAGATAATATTGCAATGGATATTAATAAATGGATTAAAATTCCACTGTTGATAGGGGAAGATTAATGTTATTAAAATGAATATTACCCCCTCATTGGTTTATATTTTTAGAGAAATTCTCATGTTAATTTCAAATGGATATGTTATTCAGATAGATAGACCATTGAGGAGATTCATATGAGAAAATAGGCCACCAAGAATTTCATTGGCTAAACTGAGACTTTATTTTGATGATGGAGGCTCTAATTTACCAGACTTTCAAAATACCACTGAAAATTTATCCTCTATGGAATAAGAAATTAACTGAATATCAACCTTTATGGCCTTTACTGGAAAGTTCTTACTTATTTCCATCAAGATCTTGGCAATTACACTGATCAACATATAGCAAAAAAGGTCTTTCATTTCCTTGTTGAGAGCAGCTTGACGTATTTGAGCCCTATTGGAATGCAGATCGGATTTTAATGCCCAGACTCATAAATATTTAACTTTATGGAAGAATTCTATTTAAAAATAGGTGATAAGACATTCTATCTTAAATGCTACAGATAAGATTGCAATCATATCTATATCATAAGTTTTAAAATATCCTTAAAGATGAAACTATTAACATTTACAATGACTGCAATAAAGAGCTGGAATATCATATAACAGAACATTAATAGATGATTAATTAATCAACTGGACTTGAGGTTGAAATTAATTCATCAAAAGATTTTATTCTGAGTTCATAGCATAAACCAAAGAATGCATCAGAAAGGATGGACTGTACACTTTGTTGGTGAATTAAGAAATTTGAGGGTATATTAATCCATATGATTTGGTCTTGTCCATTACTGGCTTTATTTTGGAATAACAGTGTAACATATTTAAGTAGATTTATGAGTAAACGTTTTAAGGTTAAAGATTTTAATACTCCCTTGAATTCTATTCCAAAATTGTTGTATCCATCCATTTTTAAGAAACATTAGTAGTGCTGGGCATGGGGAACAGCTAAGAGGATTATGTTGAGAGACTGGAAAGGTACTACTACTCCAAATATTAATGATGGTGTTGAAGAAATGTGTAATTTATCCATTTTTGAAAACATTTTGATGAAAATAAAAATGACACAATATCTTTCCCTTTGGCATAGGTTTCATAATATTTTACAATACTAGACAATTTTTATGGGTAATTTGACATTTTGTTACTAAATATATATGTAGTATATTTAGGTGATATATATTAATTTAAAATGCTAGGAAGTATTTTTTGTTCTTTGTTTGGTAATAGAATTTAACAATTAACTTGCCTGCTAGTCAGCTATATATTATCTTTTAGAATTTGTTTTTCCTAATTGTTTGCTCTAAGTGAAAATATTTAACCAACAGAAGAGATGTGCTGAGGCTGAGGAATAAAGAGTAGTATCCCTACATTCAAACAATCAACAGATAGGGTATCTCATTATGATGAACTTTTAGTCCATCATGCAAACATTCTGGGAAAAAGAGATTCAATTACACAACTCTGAAATTCTAATAAATTCTAATAAAGTTTCAAATAAAGCTTGTCCTAATACTTGGATATTAAAACAGAAAACAAAGCAAGCTTCCTGAGATACAGCTTTTGCTATTAGATTCCATCAAGGAGAAGGCCTTGTGCCACTCAAACACTCTGTTCAAATATGGTCCATGAAGTGTATAGTTATATTCAGATTGTAAGCCACAGAGAACAAGACTAATAATGGTTGCATTAAAAATGTAAGCTCATGTAATAAACAAAATATCAAGTAAGTATATGAGAAAAAGCAATCTATTCTGTCTCCATTTAAATTATTTCAGAACTGAAGCATAGTCCTATCTGCAACTACAGTCTGCATTGTGCAAGTTCTGAAAGGATCACCACACAGAGCATATTACTGTGGCCCGTAAAGTGTGCAGGGCTTAAATGAATTAATCCCCATATCGCAGATTTTTTTTTTTTTTGGTCAATTGGTCCTTGTCACCTTAAAAACAGGTAGAGATTTAATAGACACAGCATTCCCCTCATCACTACATATTTTAAGAAATTTCCAACTATCAAACAACTGCAGAAGATGGAACTTAGAAATCAACATTCTACTTACATACCCGTATTCCACTGGGCCAACTTCAGATTATGAACAAGTCAAGTTACATATGACTGTAGCCTTAGGGCTCTTCTGCACAGCAGCATTAATGTACAATGTGGGAACTGGCACAAAAATACACTAGCTCAAAGATTGATCAGACTTTAGACTCATATTCTGCATTGACAATGAAGCTCTGGGACCCTGGGGCAGAAGAGAGCAGCGTGAGGAACATGTCCTTTGATGCCAATTACTAGCAGTGACAAAGTCAGATCAGGAAAGTGGAACCCAAAGCATGAGAAGTAGAACAGGAGAGAAGTGGCTTTGTTCACCCTTATTTCTCTTGCCATGGGTGGCAGGCACAGGTAAAGTGTAGGTGTATTTTCTATCAGGAGGAAAGTAGGGAACACCCCCCCCGATCACAGGTGGAGGTTGCAGAATCACTTCCAAGCACCTCTGCAGCCAGCAGCTCTGTGGTTCATCTGTTTCCCCTCTCCACCTGCAATATGGCTGATACTCCAACAAAACTTCTATGAAAGACATCTGTTTAAACACATATGTGTTTAAGTATGTTTCAAATTAATATCCCCACCCACCTTTGCCATTTCAGGCAGGATGGTGAGCAACTCTAAAGGAATTTTCAGCACCTGAGAAAGTCAAGAGAGGTTTTTCAAGGAATGGCAAAAAAAAGAGCAGATGGACATTTCAGCCTTATCTCGTGAGGCATCAGTCCTTCTGTCTGGGAATCTGTGAGAAAGAATATTGGACAAATCACAGAGAACTCATCTTCTTGTACTCCATAATAAGCACTGTAAGGACTAAATATCTATCTAGTTTCCAAGATTCCATAACCCATCCTTGTTTTCCTGGCATTAAACCCAATTATTATTAGATTTTTAACCTGCCTTTATATTTATATAGTGGTTAAATCAAGGCAGAGAACATATCTAATGCTCCTGCCTCCTATTTTCCCCACAACAATCCTGTAAGATGGATTGAGTTGAGAGAGTGACTGCCCCAAAGTCACCCAGTGGGCTGGCTGGCTTTAATTAATTAATTGAGACTGTGTGAATCTTGCTGCTGTAAGGGACTTGACAGAGCTTGCATTTTGTGGCTCTGCAGCTAGTGTGCCTGCAAAAAATCTCCCATGACTTTACAGTGGAGATGCAGAGACTGAAGAGCCACTTCCACCCCATTCCCCTTAGCAGGAGAAAGCAGTTCTTCAGCCACTCTGAAGGGGGGAAGGGGGTCTTTTTAGTGCCAGAACAATGGCCCTAGCTCCCACTTCCCCAATTTATTTCCATGTGTTGGCAAGAAAAGCGGGAGATATGGCTTTCTGGCACAACGAGAATCCCCTGACTTTCCTACTGTCAAAAGATGAACAACAGTGGCCGTAGGCCGGTTGTGTGGTCCACAGTAGCCCCAGCAAGCCAACGGCAACCGCGCAGGGCCTCGTCCCTAAACGTACTTGGGGATGACCTGTTGCAGACGCCTCTGCTGCCTGTTCCTGCAGAAGTTGAAATGCGCCACTTCTAAAACAAAGCGAAAAAACAATGGCAGAGGCTGCCTACACAAAGGGCCGAGGGTCGGTTGAGGATGACGTCCTCCATTCATTTCCGCAACAAACGGCTACTGGAGGTCTTTGCGCCAGGGCAAGCAGGACGTACCTATTAGCCCTTAACCACTTCATTTGTAGACGGCTCTTCTATATATCTTTCAAAACAGTTTGCAAAAACGAAGCCGTACTGGAGAAATTGCCAGGGACCACCGCATGGAAAAGCTTCGCTAACGCTGAGGCAGCAGCGGCCAGTTTTTTGAACGCGCCTTCCTTCTCCTCCTACTTCTAGCACGAAACATCCGAAAGTCGAGGGGGAAAGAAAGCTTTGAACCGGGTGGTCTACCGACCGTCTCTCACCTCCAAACTCCGCTGGAGCCCAGCCGCGTTGGGCTGGGTGCGGGCAGCTCGATACTGAGAAGCCGCCGAAAGGAGGGACTTCATGCACGCCGAGGCGTCCATGGCCCCGCCGTTCGTGAAGTCTCCAGAGACAGCGTTAGCCTGTCTCGCACTCAAAAATTCGTATTTGGCGCCTTGGCCGCCATTTCGCTGTTGTCACTCCCTCGACAAAGCCTCCGGAGCTGGGCGGAAGCCTCCGCCGCTCTAGGAAGCTCGCGTGCATGCTGGGAGCCGGCGCGGGCGGCCTTGCGCGGGCGCTTTTGTTCGACCCGGGTGAAAGCGAGATCGCGCTCTTCCTCCCCAGCCGGACATGAACTATGGCCAGGCGTAGTAGAGGCCACTGCTGTGGGGTAGCTATTTTTGCTTGAGGCCTAACCAAAATCCTGTCCGCGGAAGCATCTTTCTTACAGTTCCGTCCATGTAAAATCACAAAAGTCAGAGAGAAACCTCCGTTTCTCAAAGCGTGTTCGGGAGAAGGGTTTTCGGACAAAGTTCTGTGGGGAGGGGGATTAGGAAAGGCGCTGTAGAAAACAAGCAGATAAGAATAGGAGAAGGAAAAATCCCGGTTGAGTTGTTCGAAGCTTCCTCTCGTTTTCAGCAGGAGAGGGGCGCGCTGGCGTGCCTTTGAGCTGGTTTTGTTCTGACTCAAGAGGTGGATTTCCCCTTCGAGTGAATCTTCCCAAAGGCAAAGTGACTCGAGTTTTGGTATAGGACTGAATAGGGGAGAGGGAGGGATTTCGCCTGTATTTTATTCTTACCCAGGAGTAAGTCCACCTATGCCTGTGTCTAAAAGTGCTATGACAATCCATAAAGAAAGCAAGGCATCAAACATCAACCCACCCAAAGATCTGTGACATTATAAAAAGCAGTTGTGATAGAAATTCAGCATTGCTAAACCGCACCTATAGCATGGTTTTCCTGATACAATTTTCTCTAACTGAACTATTAATGTGATCCCAGGAATATTATGGATTATAATGATAATTTGTCAATTTAAATTTTTAAAATTTAAAAAATGTAAAAAGATTTAAAATTATTCTGATTGGATCTTATGTTATTTGTACTTTCCACACATGATAGGGCTACTGATTCCGTGGTACTTAATAGTTTATTGAATGACAGGTGGCGATTTCTGCGTGAGGTTAAGATATGTACTGTTGTTTACAAGCACAATGAGTGGGTTCACACAAGTTAAGCCAAAATGTGACTTGTTTGGTTTGAGCTTAGTATAGCGGTTTTCAGGCCATTTCCCCACAAGTACCTTATAGAGTCTTCATAGTATCATCCAGCCATTGTTGAAATGATAGAAAGCCTATCTTGCTGTGTTATTTTGACACAACAGTAGTTGAATGACTCTAGAAGATAAGTCACTAGTAGCGAAATGACATTTTATCTTAAGTCCGATCAGTCACAGTAATCAGTTAAAAAAAAAAATATGGGCCCCATCTTGATAGAAATAAAAAGCTGACTTTTCCCAAGAAGGACATTTGCAAACTAAATGCAAAACAGGCTCATTTTTTAAGGTGTGGAGGAAATCTTAATCAGTTTTTCTATAACAGATCAATGTAAGATAATATGGAGATTAGGACAGGATCTACATTGGACCCCTTTTGCATATATATATATATATATATATATATAGTAGTCATGGTAGTTTTTCCAAAGTGCAGCAATTATTTAATAAGTACCAACAAAAAATGCAAGACAATCTATATTTATAACATAAAGCTGTCACTGTGATAGATGTAGGTCATAATGTTTTAGGAAACCAATAGAAGTTCACTTAAAGAACCCATCCATGTCAAAGTCAAGACTCTGGCAAATCTGAATAACTTTGTTAGCAAAATGCTGTGCAAAACAGTCACAGTGCTCCAGTTGGTGATTTGTTTATTTCTCCCCAATCATAAACATGATGACTCCAGAAGTATTCCTAAACTACTAGCCAGTTGTTTCTGAAGGTATACAATCTCATTTAGAACAATTAAGCTCTGCAGGGTCCATACCCAGGAACTACCCATACACAAGGTCTTCATCTTGCCAGGGTTCAAAAGCAGTTTACTGGCCATCACCCACCATATCACTGCATCCAGATGCTGGCTCAGGATATGCACTCTTTTTCTTTTCTTTTTTTTTTTAATAATATTTTATTGAAATTTTAAAGTTACAAAGTTAAAAGTTAGGAATGAAAAAGAAAATTGAAAATACAAATTATAAAGAAAAGAAAAAGTGAGATAAAGTAAAAGAAAAAGATATGAAAAATAGATAACTTCCAATCTATCTCTGGTCTTAGATAGTAAGACTATCATAAGTGCTCACTCTCTTTTTCATATGTTACAGAGAACTAGAGTGTATTGGTGAAACTTTACCATAAACCCTTTGATGACTGCCCCAAGTAGTTTTATATAAATGTTCGTTAGCTTTGAGAACAAATTGTGCCTTGTGGCATTTCACAGCATGAACTGTGCTGTGAAATGTCCAATCCCTGCAAGTAGGAGTGGGATCACTATAATACACAGTGCCCGCAAGCCCCAGCTGAGAGACAGTTGTGGTACTGTAAGGAGTCAAGCAAGATCAATGCAGTTGTAGTCCCTCTGTCTCTTTCTTTCAGGAAATCATCTGTCAGGGTGATCATACCTGATTCTGTGCCCAACAAGGTCTGAATCCTGATTGAAAAGGGTTGAGATAATTGGTGCCCTTGAAAATCTGTAGCTGCAAAGATGCTATCCTCCCTATTAAATTTGTGACTGAGTAGGTTTGAATCCATGGAAGACTTCTTTAGGAGTGGACAGACTATTGTTCCCTTTAAGGCTGGTAGTACCACACTACCTTGTGAAAATGTATTCACCATTTCCTGATTCCATCCAGTCATGTACTAGGCTAGCTAGAATAAGGCAACGTGAGCAGGGATCAAGAGCTTAAGTGGCAGACTGGAAAGCTACAGTTATCTCACCCATTCATTTCCTTAGGACTCCTAAACTGAAGTGATCCCTTATTTTGGGGGCAAAATAGTATACCAGATACACTCAGTGCCTCAGTATATACTGTATCAAAATCAGTGATCAAGTTGAATGACCACAAGTGATTCATATTCAAAGAGTTTTACAAATCTGTTATACCACATAATTTTTCAGCCCTTTAAGTGTTTCCAGACAAGTTAATAAGCTGGCTAATTGAAAATATGAAAATAACTACAATACTGCATGTGTCTTGATCAATATCATAAGATAGGCCAGTGAAGTTACTTTTTTGTACATCTCTTCTAATGATAGAATAATACTTATAGTTTGGGAAATGGAACACATTTGCTAGTAACTCTTTATCAATTGTCGTGTGTTGACATTCTAAAAATTATTCCACTAGGTTTCAAATAACCTGTTTTATTGATGACATTGGACACCACTCCAGCAGTTCTGCAGCTTTATGTGGCTTCTTCTTTCTCTCCATTCTTTTATAGTTGCTTGTCATATCTGTAGGATGAGGAGGTTCTTTTGGTCCCACTTTGAGCAGTCTGTTTTCGGCCTAGGAATTTTTGAATGCTGATACTTTTCATTTTGTCATACAGACTGTGTTTACATGGTTTGAAAGATCCAAGTGTTCCCTTCCTGCATCAGTTGACACAATTTTTGTTCTTACAAGATATGACAGGAGGCTGGATCTGTCACATGGTTGTAATTTCTTTTTAACCCTTTCAGACTTCAACTCTGTATCTACCTTTTTCATTTTTTTCTAGAGGAAGGGGAAACATTAGAAATCCGTGATAATAAGATCACTGTTGCCATCACCTCATTTAGACTTGCCCCTTTTCAGCTACTTTAGGTCCCTTCTCCCCAGTTGTGGCCATTGATGAAAACTCGGAAGACACATTTTCATATAAGTTCTCAAAGGCATCATTTTACTTTCAGGTGTGGGGAGAGTTAACTAACACCTGGATATGTAGATTATATTGGAGGAGTTAATTGAACCCCCCTCACCATTTAATAAATGGATTGTAGGTTAAAGATGTCATCTGTTCTGGACAGTTCTAGATGTGTGGTATATCTTACTGATGGCTGTAGAATATTTAATTGTTATTTTAGAAAAATCTTAAGCTTACTTGCTGATATAGTAACTATTTGACAACACTTTTATATATATTTTATTCTATGAATTAGAATCATTTTCTTCATACCATATTGACAACCAACTCTAGAATAATCAGGCAAAGGTAGTTAAAGAATACGTTTCTGTTGTTATTTCCTGTGAGACGACTTACGAAAACCTTATATACTCATTGATGTAATCAACCAATATGAAAGTGTTAAATCCTGTGTAATGTTAATGATAGTTATTTTCCACTGGCTTCTGTCTTCTTATATACAAAAATTTAAGTAAACTGAAAACAAGCTAAAAATCTATGCAGCCTATGTTATCATCACCAAGACAGCTAGTTATTTGAAATGGAAGTGACATAAGAATAACTTGGTATGTTCTATTGCATATTACATGGAGAAGGGTGAGAGGCTCAGGGAGCAAGTCCCATGAGGAAAGATTCAAAAAAGGTAAATATTTATCCTACCCAAGAAAACAATTAAGATAGGATATTATGATATGCTAAAATACACGATGGATCAATTTTTGTTTTATTTGGCTCCAGAGTTTACGATCTGAAGCAATGGATTAAACTTCAAAGAAAAGGAAACGCAGAAGGAACTTCTTGATTGTATAAACTGATAGAGAGTTTTTAAAGCCAAAGCAGTATGGCTACTCATTAGACATAATGTAGCACTGGATATTCTGGAATTGGACTCAGTGTCTTTTGAGGTCCTCTCCAGCTCCTTGATCCTTGAAATGCCTTCACCCCTGTCACCTTCCAGACTGTAAAATGATTAGCATTGCTGCATGAAATAATTAGGAAACGTTGACATTTCCATTGATTTTCTGTCACTAGTGTTAACGTTCCTGAAAGTACAGCCTAACTTCATTTCTCTAATGAAAAAAGAAATCATGATGCTCAAATAACTAAACATTGCATAAACAAACATGTTATCTGGAAAAATACTTAGTTTATTTGTTATAGGGATATATTCTTCACAGTCCAACCAGCCATTCCAGTTCACAGGATGGAATAAAGCACTAAAATTGTAGTTAAAATGGATTGAAAAGAACACTAGAGTACATTACTATTTAAAAGTGTAAAAGCCATTAGCAGAAAAAAGAAGATGGTAATGAAAAAAGCCTGACACTGAAATTATATAAAAAATGTAGACATCTATAAGGCTCAGCTAGAGAGAATCTTACTGTATTCCTTTCAGAATTGTAATGTAAGAATGTACTTAGTGATTTTATTTATGCTTGGTTAACTTTTTGAAAAAGTTAGAAGAGTTGCATCTAGTTTAACAATATAATTTAGGTTAAAAGAATGTATATAATTTTTGCAATCTAAACTCATTTCTCTGGCACGATTTCCCTTTTTTGCAGTCTAGTACTATTTTTTTTTTTTTTTAGTATTAGTAATATGCCAGCTTTTTTACTAAAGCAGGAAAAATAATTGACCGAATTGTAAATATACTGGCTTGGCTTTGCTTCAACAAGAAAATGAATTGGTGGACCTAATCAGACATTTATTTAGTGAT